TTGTTGATCTGTAACCTAATTCCTGAGCAATTGATGTCTGAATTAGGAAGTCCTTTCCTATACCTATATCATGTAGGTTATGGCCAATGTTTTCTTCTAACAGTTTTATATTTTCAGGTTTCACATTGAGGTCTTTGATCCATTTGGAGTTGAATTTTGTGAAGATGAAAGATAAGAGTGTAGTTTCATTCTTCTATAGGTGGGGAACATTTTGTGCTAGCACCATTTGCTGAAGATGCTGTCTTTCCTCCAGTGAATGTTCATGACCCTTTTGTTAAATATCAGGTGGCTGAAATTGCATGTAATCATGAATTATGTTCCATCCCTTGAATTATGTTCCATCCCTTGATTTACAGGTCTTTTGTGCCACCACCATGCTGTTTTTACGACTATAGTTTTGTCATATAATTTGAAATCTGGTCTCATAATCCCCCCAGAATTGCTCTTTGTGTTCAGTGTTGCTACAGCTATTCAAGGTCTCTTATGCTTCCATATGAATTTTAGGATTTTTTTTCTAATTCTGTGAAGAGTGTCATGGAAATTTTGATTGGCATTACATTGAATCTATAAATGGCTTTTGGTAGGATGGTCATTTTCACAATATTAATTCTTCCAATCTATGAGTATGGGAGGTCCTTCTGTCTTCTGGTGTCTTCATCAGTCTCTAAATATTTAAAATTTTCATTGTAAAAATCTTTAGTGTCTTTGGTCAGGTTTATTCTGAGATAATCTATTGTTTTTTGAGGCTATTGTGAATGGGAGGGTTTCCATGTACTGTTTCTTCAATTCCTTGTTATTGGTATAAAGAAACACTACTATTTTGTATATTAATTTTATAACCTGGCACTTTACTAAAAGTGTTAATCATTTCTAAAAGTTTTCTGGTGGAATTTTTGGCATCTCAGGAATAATATGTCATCTGCAAAAAGAGATAATTTGACCTCTTCTTTTCCAATTACTACTCCTTTAATTTCCTTCTCTTGTCTTATTGCTCTAGCAAGAGTTTCAAGCACTATATTAAAAGGAGTGGAGATAGTGAACAGCCTTGTCTCATTCCTGATTTTAATGTGAATGCTTCCAATTTTTCTACATTTAAAGTGATGTTGATTGTGGGTTTGTTGCATACAACTTTAATTATGTTGAGATGTGTTCCCTCCAGTCCAATTCCTTCTAGGACTTTTATCATAAATGCATGTTGAATTTTGTCAAAGGCCTTCTCTGCATCTATTGAGATGACCATGTGGTTCCTGTCTTTGAGTCCATTTATATGATTAATGATGCTTATTGACTTACATATATTGACTTACAAAAAACTGAACCATCTTTGACCTAATTGATCATGGTGGAGGATCTTTTCAATTTGTGTCTGTATGCAGTTTGCAACTATTTTGTTGAAAACTTTTGCTTCTACGTTCATAAAGCATATGGGTCTATAGTTTTCTTTTTTAGTTGTATCTTTACCTAGTTTGGGTATTATAGTGATGCTGGCTGGCTTCATAGAAGAAATTTGGGAGCTCTCCCTCTGTTTCTATCTTTTTGAATAATTTAAGTAGTATTGGATATAGATCTTTTTAAAATGTCTGGTAGAATTCTGCTGTGACTCTATCTGGGCCTTAGCTTTTTTCAGGTTTTGAATTACTGTTTCTATTTTCTTATATATTATGGCTATGTTTAAGTTGTTGATCTCTTCTTGATTTAGCTTTGTTGATTCCTATGATTTTAAATACACATCCATTTCTTTTAGGTTTGCAAATTTAATCGCACATAGGTTTTCAAAGTATCCCTTATAATGCTTTGGATCTTTTTGCTGTCTGTTGTGATGTTTCCCTTTTCATCCCTTTTTTATTGTTGATTTGGAGTTGATCTTTCTTTCTTTTGCTTAACTGGACTAAGAGCTTGTCTATCTTGTTTAGCTTTTCAAAGAACCAGCTCTTGGATTTGTTGAGTCTTTTTATTGTTTTCTTTGTTTCCATTTCATTAATTTCTTCCCTGAATAAGCTGTGTTTCACACAATGTATAGTTTCAGCATCTTTGTTTTAAATCAGGTGAATTTAGTTACATGAACTAATATCTGGGTACCCTATTCCATTTATCTACATATCTATTTTTGTACCACTACTCACTGTTTTGATCACCATGGCTTAACTTGAAGTAGGGTATTGTTACTCCTGCAGTATTTTCCTTTTTGCTCATGATTTCTTTGTCTAACTAGTGTCTTTTCTGCTTGCCCATGAATTTCAATGTTGCTTTTTTCTATTGTTGAAGAGTGGCTCTGGAATTTGGTTGAGATTGCATGAAATCTACAGATTGCTTTTGGTAGGATGGCCATTTGCACAGTATTAATTATTCCAATCCATACACCAGAGGTCTTTCCATCTTGTAAGTTTCTTCCTCAATATGTTTCTTCAATGCATTAAAGTATTCATTTCACTTTCATGGTTAGGTTTAATCTAAGAAATGTTTTAGAGTCTGTGGTGAATGATATTGTTTCCTCAATTTTCTTTTCATGTGTTTGTAACTGATACATAAGGAAGGATAGTTATTTTAACATTATTTTATTTTTGAGAATTTCATGCATCAGTATTGTATTTGCACTATTTCCATCCATTTCAGTTCCCCTCTAATGCCTCTCAAGTCCTCCCAGTCCCCTGATCCTTCTCAATTTCTTGTTCTCTTCCTTGGTTGTTATTGTTTTACACACACATGCATATATATTTATGAATACATACACACATATAATCCACTGAGTCCATTTATTGGTGCTTGTATGTAACTGTGTTTATGGATGCCTACTTGGGATTAGATAACCCCTCAGGGAGATAGTCCCTCCATCTACACCATTGATTGTGTTTAGCTCTTCATCTTGAGGTCAGATCCTGTGAAATTTTCCTCATCCACTTTAGCATGTCAACTGGTTTGATCCTTATGTAGATCTTGTTAGACTACCATACTATGGAGGTTTCATTGGTGTGGCTTTCCTATCATGTCTCAAATATGTTAACTATCAGCAGGCATCTTTTCCCTCTGGTTCTTGCATTCTTTCTGACCCCTGTTTCATGATGTTCACTGAGCCTTCGGTGTAGAGTTTGCATTGAGATGTGTCACTTAGGGCTGGGCATCTCAGTCACTTATTCTCTGCATTTAACCTGTTGTGGAACTTCTCCATCTGTTGCAAAAAGAAACTTCTTTGAATAGTGGCGAGAGGTACACTTGTCTGTAAATACAGGGGTATATATTTAGAATACACTAAGAAATTATGTTGGTCTAGGAAAGTGACAACTTCCTAGGGTCTTCTCTAGGGTCTATTACATTTCCAGTCATTATATTTGGCTATGTTTACAGTGCCCAGCATGATTTCCCTCCCATTAAGTGGATCTGAAGCCCGGTTAGACAGCTGTTGATTATTCCCAAGACAAAAGTGCCACTACTGCTCCAATAGAGGAAATTGGCTGGGCAAGTCGTTGTTGTGTTTTGTAGGCTCTACATCTGGGTAGGATCATTGATTGATTTCTCCCTTAGCAGCTTGCATAGTATCTGCTGATACTATGAAAGTTAGTATTGAGGGAGGAGGCTTCCAGGTCAGTTCCAGTTTAATCATTCCAAATCCTGTGTCCCGAGTACATCTTATCTCAGCAATAGGGTCTTAAAGTAAAGTTCTTAGAGGCAATCAAGGGCCATGGTAATAGCCTGTATTATTTTGGGAGTCTCTTGGACTACCCTGACCAACAACAAGAAGAGAGGTTTTCCTTGCCTGGCACTGTGAATTTTGTTATATATCCTTCAGTTATACACATGCACTCACATTTCTATTATAGGTTTATTTTTCAGTAGGGTTGTTAAATACTATACCATGTGGGTGCTGGGATTTGAACCAGGTCATCTGCAAGAACAGTTAGTTGTACTAACCACTGAGCAATCTCTCCAGCCCTATGTGTATAATTTTTATTCTGTAGTATAGCAGTTTAAAAACACCAGGAATTGAAAAGATATTTAAAAACCAAAGTATAAGCAGATATACAGAGTAAAACCTTAATGAAAATAATCTCCATACAAGTTCCTGAGAATCTGCTTATATGATTCTATGGCAATGGTGTCATCTTACACAAGTCCCAGGCAGACAAAACCCCAGCTAGAACTGGGAAAATGAACAGCAGACCCCAATCTTATTTAAAGAAATATTGGCAACTGATTGCTTCTAGGTGAAGAAGAGCTGATCTCCCCAAAACAAGGGACTCTAGGTACACTGACTGGACCTCAATGGATGGGTTTGCACTGGGGAACAGCTGGAGACATGGCAGCTAATAACTGTCTGTAACTCCAGTTCCAGGGGATCCGACAGCCTCTCTGTCTTCCAAGAGCATTGTACAACATGGCTGCACTTACCTACATGCAGGCAATACACGCATACACATAAGTGCACCCATGTCGAGCAATGTCCACAGAGGACAAAAGAGGCTGTTGGATCTTCTGGGACTGGAGTTATGGATAGTTGTTAGCTGCCATGTGGGCGCTGGGATTCAAACCCGGGTCTTCTGCAAGAACAGCCAATGTTCTTAACCACTGAGCAATCTGTCTAGCCCCCTAAATAAAATATTTTTTTAAAAGATTGTTTGAAATGTTCTGTATGAAAGGCACAAAAGAATCAATAAAAACAATTTTTAAAAAATCTCAGACATGTTTTACTGCATTAAAGAAAATATAAAATGGCATGTTATTAGAACTCAGAATAATATATCTTTTAAAATAGTTAAATAAATAATATATACATAAATAGGTACATTTAGATAAATGGAGGACATAGTGCCTACATAGATAAACACAGTATCATTCAATATTCCTGAAAATGTCTAGGTAAGATGATTGAATTGATGTCACAATGAGATGGCAGAACTCATGTACTGAGATACGATGTCTTAGTCCATGAGAGGCATTTTCACTTTGGTTCAGGCCTCACTCATTCTTCTCACTCTTCCCAGAAAGTTGGCTGAGGAAGAGAAGGATCACACGATTTCTGCTCTGACCACCTCCCAGGCACAAGGGCTGTGTTTCTTCTCTCTCAGGTTGGCAGTGATCCTGTGGAAGTATTTCCTCAGAGCTACTAGGGAGTTCTCCTGCCTCAGGGAAGGCTCTAGTGCCTCCACCTGCTGCATCTGACAGGCTTGCAGGACATTGAGCAGCTGATAGAGGCCAGTGCAGAATTCCTCTAGGAGGCTTGCCTCCCATGCAGCAGAAGAGTCATTAGAACTGAAGAGGTTCAGGATCTGCTGGGTCAGCTCATGGAGGATAGAGGGGGAGTGACCTTTCTGGATCTGATTACCATGAAACTCTTCCTGGGGGAATTCAAAGTCATTTCTATCTTTCAGGCAGGAGAGAGGGGAGTCTCCTCATTTTCCCCAGGAGAATCAAAGGCCTTCTGTACCCCAAGTTATACATCTGAAGCAGGTCACAGCCTAGAGAGCATGTTGTCCAGTAGCTCATCACCAGCAGGGTCATCAGGAAAGCATGGGGCCTGTTCATTTTTGATCTTGTAAATGTTGCTGGCGCTCAGAAGGTATGTAAGCCTTCACCTCTATGTTCTCTCAAGACTATCCTTAGTGGATAAGTATTAAATAGAAAAAAACACTATCTTCCATTTTCTGAGTGCCCTCCCCTTACTTTCCATTTACCCTTTCACTTTCTTTAATTCACTTTCTACTTGTGTCTAGGCTGCGTTGCTTAACCATTTTTGTTTTCATTATTGCTTCCTCTTTCTCCACTCTCCTCCACAAAGCTGTTTTAGAAGTTTATTCCTAAATGAAATTGTAATTAACTTTTAAAATTTTGTGAACATTTTCTCTCTTGAAGATTGTACAACATTTGTAAATTTAAAATTTCATATACCTTGGTGTTAAGAGCACTGGCTGCTCTTGTAGAGGACCAAGGTATGACTCCCAGCACCCACATAGTAGCTAAGAACCCCATGTGTTACTCCAGGGGTGATCTGATACTCTCTTCTGACCTCCACTGTTGTTATATGACATGGGTGAACTTACATACATGAAGGCAATACACTCATACACATAAAAATATAAATGTTAAAAAAATCAATAAAATATTTAATATATATCATAGTTTATTCACTTTTAATTCTCAAAGCCTGGTTGACAGGGCTACAGTTGTGGCTCAGTTGGTAAAGTGCTCAGCAGACATGAATTTCTCTGTTCACTCTCCAGTACTGGATATGGGAGCACACACATGTAACCCAGCACAAGGAGAATGAGGTAGGAGGATGAAAAGACCCAGTTCATCCCTGAGTACATAGTAAATTTTTGGTCTTCTTGAGCTACATGTGACCTTGCTTTACAAAAAAAAAAAGAGCCAGGTGTGGTGGCACATGCCATTAGTCCCAGCACTCAAGAGGCAGAGGCAGGCAGATCTCTGTGAGTTTGAGGCCATCCTGGTCTACCCAGTGAGTTCCAGGCCAGCTGAGACTACAGGGAGACCGTGTCTCAAAAAAAATTTAAGAAAAGAACACGTTGGGGCTGGAGAGATGGCTCAGTGGTTAAGAATACTGGCTGTTCTTGCAGAAGACCTGGGTTTGAATCCCAGCACCCACGTGGCAGCTAAAAACTGTCCAATAACTCCAGTACCAGGGGATCCAACAGCCTCTTCTATCCTCTGCGGGCATTGCACAACATGGGTACACTTACCTACATGCAGGCAATACATGCATAAACAAAATAAAAATAATAAATAAAATATATTTTAAAACAAGAAAGAAGCTCACCTCCCTCTGCTTCCCTGGACCTACACGACCTGTAGGCCTCTCTTCAGGGTAAGTCCAACACACCCTCTGCGCCTTGACTCCCCCAGCCTCATTCACCCTCCCATCTCCCCAGCCCATTTCTTCTCATAGTCTGAGACCAGTCCCATTCCTTGACTTCCCCAGTACCTTATGGGGTCCCCAAGAACCCTCTTGGCCTGGCCTCATCCTCACCTCCCTCTGCTTTCCTGGGCCTGCAGGACCCACAGGCCTCTGTTTGGGGTAAGTCGATTGTGCCCTTAGCACCTTGACTCCCCCAGCCTCATTCACCCTCCCATCTCCCTCGCCCATCTCTTCTCCTAGCCTGGGACCTGTCCCATTCTTTGTCTTGGCGCCCCAGACACTGGGGAACCACCACTGCTTCCAGATCCTTTGCATCCAGACCAACCCAGTTCCTTCTGGGGTCCCCAGGAGCACTCTGGGCCTGGCCCCGCCCTCACCTCCCCCTGCTTCACTGGGCTGCGCAACCTGCCAGCCTCTTTCCTGGACTCTGGGCTGACCTTTCCACTTCCTGATCCTTTGTATCCAGACCAACCCAGTTCCTCAGTGCAGTCCACCAGAGCCCTTGGGGCCTCTACCCACCCCAACACTCTTTGCATCTCTGGGTGGCACGGCCACCGGCTGCCCTAGACCAGCATCTTTCTGGGGCCTTGCTCTGAGGCCAGTCCAACCCCAAAATTCCTGAGGCCAAAATCTTTCCTGGAGGGATCCAGACCTTAAGAGAAAGCCTGAGAGCATCTGATCCTCATCTGACTTGGGCCTCTGTGGGAACTCCTGAAGACAAAAGCAATCTGGCCACTCCAATATATGATCAAAAGAGAGAACTGGAAGCTTAGAGGAACCAGCTTTTAATGCGCAAAAAGTAAACCACAAAGACACATAAAGTTTACAAAATGAAGCAGACATAAACTTGAAGGCTTCAGTCTCACACAAGAATCAGAAACTACAAAAAAAATTTAAAATCACAGAGAAAAAAAATAACATGAAAAACCAAAATAACATATCACCACCAAATACCAATAGTCCTCTAGAGGAGTACAATGAGAACCCCCTAGAGAAAATGCAGGACATGGAACTCAAAAGAACAATTATAAACATGATAAAAGAATTCAGTGAATTTAAAGAACACACAAAGAAATCAAAGAACTGAAGGAAGATAGGGATAAACTTCTGAATGAATTCAGAAAAGAGCTAGATATATTGAAGACTACTCAGGCTGAAATGAAGAAGGAAGCGAAACACTAAGCCAATTAGAAATGACATGAGAAGGCCTCACCAATAGGATGAATGAAATGGAAAACAGAGTATCAAGACTGGAAGATGAAGTGGACAAACTAGGCCACTCAAGCAAAGATTATGAAAAATTTAAGAAATCACAAGAATGGACTATGCAGAAATTGTGTGACACCATAAAAAGACCAAACTTATGAATCATAGGGATACAGGAAGGAGAAGAATCCCAAGATAATGGCATGGACTGGATCTTCAACAGAATTGTGGAATAAAATTTCCCAAAATTAAAGACACGCCCGTACAAATACAAGAATCACATGGAACACCAAATAGACAGGATCAGAAAAGAAACTCTCCATGGCATATCATAGTAAAAATACTAAACGTACAGAACAAAGAGAGAATACTGAAAGCTGCAAAAGAGAAATAAGTCACATGTAAAGGAAAACCCATCAAAATTACAACTGACTTTTCAGTGCAAACTATGAAACCAAGAAGAGCCTGGACCAAAGTATTGCCAGTTCAAATGACCACAGATGCCAAGCCAGATTACTTTACCCAGCCAAAATGTCTCTTATAGTTGAATGGGAAAGAAAATTCTTCCATGACATGAATAGGATGAAAGAACTCATGTCCCCAAAACCAGCCCTTCACAAAGTTCGTGAAGCAATACAAAGACCTGAAGAAAGGAATGACTATACCCAAGGGATAACAGAAAGAAACTTAAAAAAAAGTAAAACTGTGGAAACAAACACATACACCAAGAATGTGAATATAAATCTAAACAACAGGAATCAAACACATCCTTCATTTAGAACTTTAAATATCAATGGACAGAACTCCTCAGTCAAAAGACACAGACTAGGTGAATGGATTAAGAAAAAGACCCATCTTTTGCTGTCTGAAAGAAACCCATCTCATTTTCAAGGACAGGCACTACCTTAAGTTGAAAGGATGGAAAAAAATATATCAAGCCAATGGTACTCAACAAAAAAGCAGGCATTGCAATTCTAACATCTAACAAAATAGACTTCAAATTAAAACTAATCAGAAGAGATAAGGAGGGCCACTTCATTCTGATCAAAGGAACACTGGGCCAAGAACATATTACAATCATGAAATATATTCACCAAACTCTGGTGCCCCCAACTTCATAAAAACAGTACTACATGACTTTAAGACCCATATTAATCCTAACTCATTAATACACCATTGTCTCCATTAGATAGGAAAACAGGACAGAGAATAAGCATAGACATCCAAATTAAACAATACCATACATCAAATGGGCTTAACAGATATCTACCAAACACTCCACCCAAGCACCAAAGAATATACTTTCTATTCAGTGCCCCATGGAACTGTCTTCAAAATCACCCATATACCGGGGCACAAAACAAGCCTCAACAAATACAAAAAGATTGAAATAATTCCATGCATTCTATCAGACCACAATTGAATAAAGCTTAAAATCAACACGAGAAGAAACCCTAGTAACTACATGAAAACATGAGATTAAACAACATACTCCTGAATGATGAATAGGTCAAAGGAGAAATTATGAAAGAAATAAAGTATTCCTGGAACTAAATGAAAAGGACAATACAATACAACAAAACCTCTGGACACATTGAAAGAAGCCCTTAGAGGGAAGTTTATGGCTCTATGTGACTTCATTTAAAAAATCAGAAAAAACACAAATGACTTAACATTGTAACTCAGGTAATTTGAAAAGCAACCACAAATGAAACCCAAACCCAGACAAGAAGAAATAACAAAAATTAGAGTAGAAGTTAATGAAATAGAAAGAAAGAAAGAAAGAAAGAAAGAAAGAAAGAAAGAAAGAAAGAAAGAAAGAAAGAAAACAATACAAAGAGCAATGATTCCAAGAGCTGGTTCTTTGAAAAGATAAACAAGTTTGACAGACCCTTAGCACAGCTAACCAAAAGAAAGAAAGAGCACCTTGAAATCAACAAAATCAGAGATTAAAGGGGGAAACATCACAACAAACACCAAAAAGATCCAGAACATTATAGGGGAATACTTTAAAAACCTATATGCTACTAAATTTGAAAACCTAAAAGAAATGGACAGGTATCTAAAAGCATGGGAACCATCAAAACTAAACCAAGAAGAGATTAATAGCTTAAAAAGACCCGTAACACATAAGGAAATTGAAATATCAATACAAAATATCCTGACTAAAAAGACCCCAGGACCAGATGGATTTACAGAAGAATTCTACCAGACATTTAAAGAACATCCATATCCAATACTACCTAATTTAGTTAAAAAAGAGAGAAATGGAGGGAAAACTTCTAAATTCCTTCTATGAAGACAGAATCACTCTATACCAAAGCCAGGTAAAGATACAACCAAAATGAAAACCATAGACCTATATCCTTAATGAATATAGATGCAAACTTACTCAACAGAATACTTGCAAACCGCATACAGACACACATCAAAATGATCATCCATC